CCCTCCGCCAGACTGGATATACAGCCCTGCCTGCACACACCCACCGCTCCCCGCTGCAGGGCACACACAGCTCCCGCTGCCCTCGCCCCACATCTGCCTCCCCCAGCCTGTGCCGGCACCCACTGTGGGCAAGGGGATCGTGTGGGTACCACCGGGGACCAGGCAAGGCTGGGAGGCAGGAGGGGTGGCAGTGGACATCGCCCTTCCTTTCACTGTGAAGGTGCTTGTGGGTGAGGCTTTGTGGGTCTGGGTAGGGAATAGTGCTCTTTGGTGGATGGAGAGCTGGAGGATCTCCCACACAGCCTGCTCGGCTTGTATTTTATTATTTCCCTTTGTCTAAAGTGAATCAAAACGGTGTCTCAGTGCCAAGAGCCTGGGGACACCCCTGCTAGTAGAAGGCAGCATTGAACACACCATGGGTCAGAGCAGCATCACTGCCCACAGTGCCCATTCCTTCCTGGGCATCCAGCCTCCATCCTGCCGAGATGCTCCTCCCTTGGTCAGGGTGTCCAGCTCCCCATTTGCTTGCTCTACCTGCCCAGGACTGCAGGGTCACCTGCACAGCACCTAACGTAGAGGTCATGGAGGGTCCTGCTGTGGTCATGGGGGTGAGACCTCTTCCCAAAAGGGGTTACCTTTTCTTCATGGACATCCATTGGATGAACGAGGGCAGGCACCAGGCAAAGAGTTGGGGCAACCTTTGCAAGTAACTTGGGGTAGCACAGAGAAAAAGAGGACTTTTAGGCAGTGGAAGAGAAGATAAAGTGGCTGTACAAGAAATGACATGTCGGGTTACGAATCCGAGCAGAGAATTCTCCCTCTGCCAAGCCACACTGCAGCAACTCGCCTGCAGAGAACCGAACACCTCAGTGCTGGTGTGACCAGTTTCAGGTCGAAGCAAGAGCTGACAAAGCTCCTGCCAAGCCACGAGAGGCTGATACAGGAGAAGAGGTACAAACCCCAACTGCAGGGAGGCCGAGGGCAGAGGCTTCCCGTGTCTCCCAGGACAGCCCAGAGAAGGGTCAGGAGGAACGGGCTCCTTCCCACTGTCCCATGGAGGGTAAACCCCATGGACAGGACTGTGCGGTTTCTCTCTGGTGGGAATCATCAGTGCCCAGGCTCTGCCCACAGGCCTGGTACTTTCAGCACCCATGTGCTGGGTCCCTCCTTGAAAGGAGAAGGAAAGCACTTTGTTTCATTCAGGTTTTGTGTTTCTCTGGTGGCCTGTGAACAGTATTTTGTATTTCATAAGAACAAGAGCAGTATCAGAAAGCACAGGGCATGTTCCTGGGGAAGATGAACACTGTGCACCTTCTTCTGATGCTTCAGGATGCTCCTCCAGTGAAACCCAACAGCAGAAACTCAAGCTTTGTCATTGAGACACAGGACTAGAGCAACTAGAGGGTAATTACCTTTAGTTCCCATTTCCTGACACCTCACCCAAGGGATGCAGTGCCTTTACTCCGCTCCATCATCCAACCAGCCTGGACACTCAAGAGCATGCCCAAGCAAAACCAGCCAAGATGAAGGCTGAGTGCTGCCCAAGAGCAGACTGACGATGCCCAAGTGGGATGGAGAAGGATGAAGAGCAGGCATGGGTCTGTGTGCTTCCAGCCCGGGTAGGGAACAGCAAAGCAATACCTGGCTGTTGTTTTGCTCTGTCCTACTTGTTTCTCCTGAAAGCTTGTTATCGATGCCAAGCGATGTTTTCGCAAATCAATGACAGGCTGTCAGCGTCAGATGGCTTCTGCACAACAAAGTGCCCAGCTCTTGCAAACCTGTAATGTCATTTCCCCCACGGCAAGGAACAGCCCTCACCCTGTCCCTGCACGGGAGAGCCAAGTGTTTATCACAGCCCGTCATTTGGCTCCGGCATCTGCCCTGTTTCATAACTTGCCCAAAATGCTGAGCTGGGCTTGGTGCTGGGGACAGGGAGCGGAGCTGGGGACGGGGCTCACAAAGGCTTTCAAGAAGCAATAGTTTCTTGGTACATGTTTGTATGGTCTAGCTCAAGGGAAAGAAAGCTGGAGAGGAGCTTTGGGCAAGGGATGTAGGGACAGGATAAGGGGAATGGCTTGAACCTGCCAGAGGGGAGACTGAGATGAGCTCTGAGGCAGAAGCTCTTCCCTGGGAGGGTGCTGAGGCGCTGGCACAGGGTGCCCAGAGAAGCTGTGGCTGCCCCATCCCTGGCAGTGTTCAAGGCCAGGTTGGACACAGGGGCTTGGAGCAACCTGCTCTAGTGGAAGGTGTCCCTGCCCGGGGCAGGGGGTTGAACTGGATGACCTTTAAGGTCCCTTCCAACCCAAACCATTCTATGAACCTCCCTGGTTTCTGCAACAGACTCTAAATCCATGTCTAAAAGAGCAAGAAATGCTTAAATGAAGGAGCTCATTGCACCTCTGTGCAAACTGCTGCTTCTGCTCTGTACCCCGGGCTGGGGATGCTTACTTAGCAGGGCATGGCGAGTGTCATCCCCAGCGCAGCAGCAGAGCTTGCACCTACCAGTGCCTGGAGCAAATTCCCTGTCTGCCTTTCTGTCTGGAGCTCGCAGGCAGCAGTGGGGGGAAGGCGGAGAGGGCAACAAACCTCAATTCGGGGTGTGATGGGCGACAGATTGGAGGGTTAAATAAAAAAGACATCACAATAACTCAGGGCTCTGCTGATGTGAGGGTGTCGGGGCCGTCACCGCGGTCCAGCCGTGCATGTGCATCGCATGGCGATGCCATGACTCACGGCCCCGCGCCCCACACGGGACACGCCTTGTGCATCTGCCCTCTTCAAAGCATTTTTGTACGAGTTCCTGGGATTCCTGCCAGCTCGCCGATCGCAATCAAAGGGCTCGCTGGCCCGGTGCTGCTCCCAGAGTGGTGCAGGGTTTGCTGTTCCGACTTGTCAGGCACTCCTCAGCTGGAAGTGGCTACGGGTTGCTGTGAAATCTGCCAAGGGAGAACGGTTGGCTCCCAAAAGTGGTGGCAGGGAGTCCTGCTGTGGTATTCCTCTAGCACTCAGGGTTGCTGCGTCCTCAGGGCAGGTGGTCACCAGGAGGGACAGAGGTAAGCATGCTGAGGATTTCTTGTATTCGCCTTGCCCCAGTAGAGCTGAGGCTTCCCAGAGCCTGGCACGGTTTCTCCATGAGGAAACCTGCACTTCAGATTTGCAAAGCCTTAGTTTTGCTCTACCTCTCACAAAAGGTTCTCTTTCTTCTGTGGGACCAGAAAGAGCCACTGGAAGAGGGCAGATGGAGAGCTCAGACCCAACAGGGTAACCAAGATCCAGCTGCAAGTGAGCATGGAGCTGCCACAAGCTGAGGGAAGCCACCCAGAAGCCTGCTGAGACATGTGGGCAAGGTTGTTCTTGAGCAAAGCCTTCCCTGCACTCGCACACGTGTGGCACCGAGGTGGTTCTGGGGTGGTGCTGCAGGAGGATGAGAAGGTGGGGCAGATCATGGGCTGGCCCTTGGCAAAGCAGGTAGACTTCACCAAGCCCCAGAAGTCTCCTATTGTGGATGGGAGCTTAGGTGAGGACAGTAAGGAAGGCTCATTCACACAGAGCAGCTGCGAGGCTACTACATGCAGCCAGATGAAAGCATTGCGTAACGGAGATCAAGTACCTGGGAACGAAGTTAATGCATCATCAAGGTGTGTCCTAACAGAAACATGGAATAATTGAGATAGAGAGGAAGAGACTGACCTTCTGCCCAAAGCACAGCCAGCTTTGCTGGACCAGCTCAGGGTCCAGTTGCTCCAGACGTTGTCCAGTTGAGGTTGGATGGAGATCCTGCAGCCCCTCTGGCCTCTCTCCCAGTGTTTGACTTCCCTCATGGTGGATTTTTTTCCCAGGTATCTGAAAGGAATTTCCCGTGTCCCAGCTTGTTCTCACTGCCTCTCTTCCTCGCCCCATGCACCTCTGAACATCTGGCTCCATCTCCTCTGCATCCTCCAGTTAATTCCCCACATAGAGTATAAGATCCCTCCAAACTTTCCCTCATTCAATCTGAACTAACCCACCTCTCCCAGCCTTTTCTTTGTGTTCCCTGAGCTCCACTCCTGACCATTCTGGGGCTGGAGAGCAGACCAAGTCCCTGCCCTGTCAACTGGACCTCCTTGGCCTCGCATTCCCGGTTCCCTGCTTTTCCTGCCTCTGTTTGTGGCAGATGGCACATGTAATGCACCTAAGGGAAAACACAAAGCAGGGCAGGATGTCTGTGGGCTGGAGACCACCCTTCAAGCTCTGTGAGGGAACCTGCAGGTCCAGACTCAGTTGCTATCCAGACTGAGGGTACAGGTTGTCCCCTCTGTGGTTCCCTACTTCCCTACGCTCGGCCATCCGCTGCCAAACAGCACATCCCAGGTCCCACCTTTGATGAGCAACAACACCACAGCTCTGAACTGCTCCCAGTTGTCAGCAACTAAAAAGGGACATGCCATGGTCAGCAGGTCACTCTGGAAGCTAGCACCAGGAGTGACCATGCAGTGACAGGGAAGGGCAGGCACCAGGGAGGTGCCCTGGGTGGGGAGGATGGTGATGGAGATGGAGAGAGCTCTGCTTTCCCTCCAGGAGAAGACTATCAAAGTGGCCAGTCCACCCAGTTTAGTCTCCTTGTGTCACCATCTCACTTGAGGAGCCTCCACAAAATTGGTCAAGGAGCTGCTGATCTCCCATCCCTACCCAGTACCCTTTGCTATGGCAATGTCCAGTTCAGGGCAAGCTGGTTGTCTCTTCACTCATCCGTGTCAAGGGAGAGATGCTTCACACCAA